TCTAGCTTTGTAATTATTATTACATCACTAAATGTATTTTTTTTAACTAGGTACCTGAATAAGTACCCGAATTTAACCAGTTATTAGCCTCTTGTAGTTCCTGTATAGCAGGAGAGATAAGTAGCACAAGCAGTCAGTCAGCTCATGTGCTGACAAGAAACATACTATTAGGAAGAGAGCACAGAGTGACAGAGAGATGAGCTCATCACTGTGCAGCTTCTACTTTCACTGTCCAGTCACAGGATGACCTGGGATTAGAGGAATTGGGTCTTCTCCAGAGCTTCTCCCATCTTCTGGGACTCTCTACCTCAATCTGTCTGACTATCTTCTACTCTGCCTGTCTTTAGTAGATCCTTAAAAACCTATTTATTCAGGCTAGGTTCACCTTTGTATTCTGTCACATGTTTTCAGAAGCACAAGAATACACGACAAATTATTTACCATTGGTCCTATACAGTTTACTGCAATGTGTGTATGGAGGAGGTGCAGGAAAGATGTGTTTTTGAGTCCAAAGAAGTCCAAAATGGAACCAAATGAAAAATGTATGTACTGTGCTTTTCATGCATTTTTGGTGTGTTTTTTTTCAGTGCATTTTTTTTGTCAGGAGACAACCACTCTCATCCCACAAAAAAAAACACATGATACACAAAAACGCATCAAAAACACCAAAAAACAAGTAAAATACACTGAAAAAAAGACACGTAAAAACACATGAAACACACATACATTGGTTGTAAACACAGGTGTTGGATAGAAGCTGAATATTGCAGTAAAATTGGATTTGTTAGTTTATATTTTCAACTGGCTATTTATTTTTTACCATGTTATTGTTGGATGGAGTTCTGCCTGAATCAATTTTGCTGCTGCTGAATACTGCAAGCGTCTAATGCAACCTGCTCTTGTGTGAACCAGTGATGGGCTGCACCCCCTTGTTTTTTCCCTATTGTGCAGTGTGAGTATCATTATATTCTGATAGAAACACTCCTGCGCTCAATCCAGAGTACTTCAAACAATATATCAGTGTGTAATTCTTCCTCGGGTGCAGCCCTCCACAAATCGGGGAAATTCCAGAAAACAGTAAAAACACACATAAGAGGACGCAAATTCCTCATGCATTACCTTAATAAAATGTAATCAAATGCCAAGAGACAAAAACATACTCACAAACGCATGAAAACAGCAGGCACATACAAGAAATACAGCCTTAGAAGGCCCATCCCATCTCAGATCCGCTGGTAGGAAAACTAGCGCGTTTCGGGAGTCAGGCTCGCTTCTTCAGAGCTGAACCTAACAAGTGTCCTGTTTGCCCTTAAATGACCAAGGGACATCCCAACCCCCCCTCCAAGGATGGGTCAATGGGCAGGATCAGAGCAGATCCTCCCCTATGGACCTGAGACTCAGGACACAATAGCACACATAAAACATCAATGATAAAAATCATGATAAATAAAACCATATATAAAATATTAAATGAAATATCAATTGTATTTATATATCTGTATCCAAATGATAGCTAAATATATGTATATTGAAAAAAAAAACCACACATATCAAGAAAAGAGAGGGGCACATCTTATATGGACTGCAATAGTGTGCTGCTAGTCGGACAAGATCAATGTGGATCACCACAGATGCGTGCACAGACTCTTTCACAAGATTCCAATTTGTACCAGTGGCACACACAAAATTCCAATGTGAGCAGATATGCACCAACCTTATGATTCAATGGTTGGGGTATGGGGGCCGCAATGTGCAAGACAGTATATATTATACACTCTGGGCACAATCGACACCCATTATTGTGGATATATTTCTCTTTAGATAAGCGCCCATCACATCTTCCACTGTTGAAAGACCTTTCATTTTGATAAAGATGATTCTTGGCATTGGCCACTGGAGAGCATGCCTAGTTGATGGAAAACATGGTCTAGGATGTGTGGAACGCAAACTCTGGAAGCCGGAACTGCGTCAGCAGAAGGGGCGGGATTCAGGGCACTGGGGAGAAGTGCCACCCATATGTAGAGTTGAGCCCTGCGATAGGCTAAGGGGCAGACCTGATACATCCCTCTCACTTGACACAAAGCGCTAAGCAACAAAGAAAGAAGCTAGCATCCCATAGGCATCCATCCAAAGCCATAGGGGACCGGTAATTAGTCACTCCAAGTGTAAATAAAACAGTACAGAAAACATCGCTCTAAATGGACTAGTAACTGATGAATTAATAATAATAAAAAAAAAATTATGACATGAATAAAACAATTAAAAACTTTCAATAAAAGTTATTAAATAATTGTATGACATATAGTGAAACTGCATTAAAATCAACAGTGGGTGTGGTCAAACATAACATCACATGACAACAAAACGCAACCCCCTTAATAGTATACAAGGTCAAGAGGTGTATTGATAATCAAAACTTAACCCATGGGTCATGTTCAACTAACGTGTATACATGTACGGGTAAATGCACGTATGTAGGCCTGTGTACAGGAGCGTGTAGCATCAATGCATGTACACTCATGTGTATGCCCTCACGTGCATACAAAGTGGTCTAATGTGTGTGTATGGTATGCAGGGTCATCACAGTAGTCCGCCAGGGCTAAGATGGAAAGCTATCCTCATGTGAATGCATCAGCATAGAGGGAAGAGAACGGCCCTGAAAAAAGTAGTGGGTAGTATGGGTATGGATACCTTTAGACCAGGGTATGTATACTTAAACCATTACTGAGGCCCTTGGGAGACAGGGTGTCAAGCTGATGGATCCAAAAGGTCTTGAGTCGGCATAAAAGCTGGTATCTTCTGCCAACATCACTATCTTCACATATTCTAGTATTGTCCCAGGAAAACATTCTTAATCCATCTGGGATGGTGATTGCTGTCTGCATGAAGGTAAGAATTACCTACTGAGGATTTGAAGTGGGTCTTAGAAACAATATGCAGATCAGATTCTGCTGTGAGTTCCACATCTAAAGAGACTAGCTTCTCTTCATTTACCACATACAGTAGGTGAATTCGATGCCAAATGGGTTGGATTGGCAATGCTGTATAAATTGCTCTGACAAGGTATCCGACCCATCCCACACAATGAATATATCGTCTATATAGCGAGCATGTAGGACTAGGTTTGCCCCAAGCTGGTTATTGGTCAAAATGTGATGTTGCTCCCAAAAACCCATGAATGCATTTGCATTATTATAATATATATATATATATATATATATATATATATATATATATAGAGTGGGGCAAAAAAGTATTTAGTCAGCCACCAATTGTGCAAGTTCTCCCACTTAAAAAGATGAGAGAGGCCTGTAATTGGCATCATAGGTAGACCGCAACTATGAGAGACAAAATTAGAAAAAAAATCCAGACAATCACATTGGCTGATTTGGAAAGAATTTATTTGTAAATTATGGTGGAAAATAAGTATTTGGTCACCTACAAACAAGCAAGATTTCTGGCTCTCACAGACCTGTACCTTCTTCTTTAAGAGGCTCCTCTGTCCTGCACTCATTACCTGTATCAATAGCACCTGTTTGAACTTGTTATCAGTATAAAAAACACCTTTCCACAACCTCAAACAGTCACACTCCAAACTCCACTATGGTGAAGACCAAAGAGCTGTCGAAGGACACCAGAAACAAAATTGTAGACCTGCACCAGGCTGGGAAGACTGAATCTGCAATAGGCAAGCAGCTTGGTATGAACAAATCAACTGTGGGAGCAATAATTAGAAAAATGGAAGACATACAAGACCACTGATAATCTCCCTCGATCTGGGGCTCCACGCAAGATCTCACCCTGTTGGGTCAAAATGATCACAAGAACGGTGAGCAAAAATCCCAGGACCACACGGGGGGACCTAGTGAATGACCTGCAGAGAGCTGGGACCAACGTAACAAAGGCTACCATCAGTAACACACTACGCCGCCAGGTACTCAGATCCTGTAGTGCCAGACATGTCTCCCTGCTTAAGCCAGTACATGTCCGGGCCCGTCTGAAGTTTGCTAGAGAGCATTAAGATGATCCAGAAGAGGATTTGGAGAATGTCATATGGTCAGATGAAACCAAAATAGAACTGTTTGGTAGAAACACAACTCGTCGTGTTTGGAGGAGAGAGAATGCTGAGTTGCATCCAAAGAACACCATACCTACTGTGAAGCATGGGAGTGGCAACATCATGCTTTGGGGCTGTTTCTCCGCAAAGGGACCAGGACAACTGATCCATGTACAGGACAGAATGAATGGGGTCATGTATCGTGAGATTTTGAGGGCAAACCTCCTTCCATCAGCAAGGGCATTGAAGATGAAACGTGGCTGGGTGTTCCAACATGACAATGATCCCAAACATACCGCCCGGGCAATGAAGGAGTGGCTTCGTAAGAAGCATTTCAAGGTCCTGGAGTGGCCTAGCCAGTCTCCAGATCTCAACCCCATAGAAAACCTTTGGAGGGAGTTGAAAGTCCGTGTTGCCCAGCCACAGCCCCAAAACATCACTGCTCTAGAGGAGATCTGCATGGAGGAATGGGCCAACATACCAGCAACAGTGTGTGCCAACCTTGTGAAGACAGACAGGAAACGTTTGACCTCTGTCATTGCCAACAAAGGATATATAACAAAGTATTGAGATGAACTTTTGATATTGACCAAATACTTATTTTCCACCATAATTTGCAAATAAATTCTTTCCAAATCAACCAATGTGATTGTCTGGATTTTTTTTCTCATTTTGTCTCTCATAGTTGAGGTCTACCTATGATGCCAATTACAGGCCTCTCTCATCTTTTTAAGTGGGAGAACTTGCACAATTGGTGGCTGACTAAATACTTTTTTGCCCCACTGTATATATATATATATATATAATTTTTTTTTCAATAAATATAAAAACAGTTACAAAAATAAAATTGGTTTGAACCATTAGAGTCATCCTTAAAATGCACAGCTATAGGAACTTTTTAAAGAACAAAAGCTAATCTGCCATCTGAATACATCTTTTTCAGAATGTGAAATAGAAAGGTCATTCTTTCTCCGGATGAAATGTGTGTTGGCCAAACGGAACGCAGGTCTGACATGTAGTGGATACAAGGTAAGCAATGTACTTAGATCATTGTGGAGACACTGCTGAGTTTTTTTCACTGTGTGTCAAAGGCGCTCGTTCTATTGCCTCATATCAACCAATCCAAATTAATCCTTCTCTGGAAAACAGCAGCTAAAGAATATTCAAAACTCAGCCTGAATGGGTTGCAGTGAGGCAATGGAGAGGTTATTGAAATAAAGCTAGCTTTATGTGTTAAATCTGAATGTACAATCCCCTTTAGATTTACCAAGTGAAAGAGTGGGTGGCTAAACAATTGGTTCATTTTAATATCCCATCAGAATGGCCCTGGAACCTCATAGCTGTTGGTAAATTGAGAGTAGGCTTATTGACAGGTGCATTTGATCTGCAGTTGACCTGTTATTTGATCTAAAGTTGCCATTCTTTTCACCTGAAGTTGACCTCTATCTGACTTGAAGTGTACCTCCTTCTCTCCAACAGTTGACCTTCTTCTGACCTGAAGTTGACATTCTTCTCTTCTGCAGTTGATCTTTTTCTGACTTGAAGATGACATTCTTCTCTACTACAGTTGACCTCCTTCTGACCTAATGTTGACCTCCTTCTTACCTAAAATTGATCTCCTTTTGTCCCGTAGTTGCCCTTATTCTGACTTTCAGTGGACCTCCATCCAATCTACAATTGACTTCTTCTCACCTGAAGTTGACTTCCTTATTACTTGAGGTTGAACTCCCTCTGGACTGAAGTTGCCTGTATTCTAAACTTCAGTTGCTCTCCTTCTGTCTTGTAGTTGACTTTCTGCTCTGCAGATGACCTCCTTATGACTTGCAGTTGACCTTTCTCTGACCTGCAGCTGACCTGCTTCTGACTTGGAGTTGACCTCCTTCTGTCCGGCAGTCAACTTATTGCTCTGCAAATGATGTCCTTCTGACCTGCCATTGACCTTCTTCTGATCTGCAGCTGACCTCCTTCTGACTTGCAGTCGACTTCCTGCTTTAAACTGCTTTGCATACAGTCTAATTGTATAGGGATAGAGGCAGTTTTGAAATGAACAAAATTCCATGTACATATGCCCATAATGCAATTTCATTTTCTTGGTGTCAGTTCACCAAGCTGCATGGGGTATGTACATAGTCACACACAGTTATGCAACAAATGTTCTTGAAGTTCAAATTAAAACAAATCTCACTTACATATGCAGGTGTTGCCTGGTGGTGGAGAAAAACAAAAAAAAAAACTAATGCAGCCATCACATCTAAATAATTAGCTGCAACACATATCAATGTTGTATTTGAGTTTAGATAAACTTCAATGATCAAATATGCATGCAATGATTTGTGAGGCTTGAAATTTTTCCTTATACCTAAAAATTAACAAATAATGTACAGTGTACTTTAGTTAATTGACTTCCCTTTAGTAGAAACCTGCACTTATCTTTACATCCATTTGGTCTTCTTGGAGCATAAAAAGAAGTATCTGAAGGGTGGGTGTGGTTTGTCAGATTTTGGTGTTGTTAATGGGGTGTTTGGAAACATAGGCAATTAGTAATTTACGCAAATAAATCACTTTGCCAATAAATCGTTATGCCAGTATGCCAATTCTGCCATTATATCAAACAAAAAAATTATGCCAATTCACGACAGATTCTTGAGAATAGATTACATACTTTTGCATAAATAAACCTTCATCTGCATATAATGAAATATAATTTTCTAACAGTTTCAAATGTGCATGTTGATTTAGGAAAGAATACAGGGCCATTACAAAACAAGAGTCTGCACCCCTAAAATGTGGATGCCGTAGGCCCAGGCCGTTATGGCCTTACCATTTTTCCATACCAAGCTGCCAATAACAAACAAAAAGAATAGAATAAAAAATAAAAAAAACAATAGAATGAAAGTGAACACCTGACAAATTGCGATCATTTCATTTTGGTGCAATCCATATGCAATCTCTAATGCGCCAATAATTTGGCTCATTCTAGTGAATTGGAGTGACACACATCTAATTGACTTACAATGCTATCATCCCATAATGACATCAAAAGAATGAACTATAGAAAAGAGGACTTTAAACAAAGCACTCAAAAATTACGTTGTATCTAGGAGCTGAAAATAAAAAATAAATAAATATATATATATACAGGTGAAACTCGAAAAAATTAGAATATCGTGCAAAAGTTCATTTATTTCAGTAACGCAACTTAAAAGGTGAAACTAATATATGAGATAGACTCATTACATGCAAAGCAAGATAGTTCAAGCTGTGATTTGTCATAATTGTGATGATTATGGCTTACAGCTCATGAAAACCCCAAATCCACAATCTCAGTAAATGAGAATATTACATGCAATCAATAAAACAAGGATTGTACATAGAACAATATCGGACCTCTGAAAAGTATAAGCATGCATATGTACTCAGTACTTGGTTTGGGCCCTTTTTGCAGCAATTACTTCCTCAATGCGGCGTGGCATGGAAGCTATCAGCCTGTGGCACTGCTGAGGTGTTATGGAAGACCAGGATGCTTCAATAGCGGCCTTCAGCTCTTCTGCATTGTTCGGTCTCATGTCTCTCATCTTTCTCTTGGCAATGCCCCATAGATTCTCTATGGGGTTCAGGTCAGGTGAGTTTGCTGGCCAATCAAGCACAGTAATCCCATGGTCATTGAACCAGGTTTTGGTGCTTTTGGCGGTGTGTGGGCAGGTGTCAAGTCCTGCTGGAAAATGAAGTCAGCATCCCCATAAAGCTCGTCTGCGGAAGGAAGCATGAAGTGCTCCAAAATCTCCTGGTAGACGGCTGCGTTGACCCTGGACTTAATGAAGCACAGTGGACCAACACCAGCAGATGACATGGCTCCCCAAATCAACACAGACTGTGGAAACTTCACACTGGACCTCAAGCATCTTGCAGTGTGTGCCTCTCCATTCTTCCTCCATTCTCGGGGTCCTTGGCTTCCAAATAAGATGCAAAAGTTGCTCTCATCAGAAAAGAGGACTTTGGTCCACTGAGCAACAGACCAGGTCTGTTTTTCTTTAGCCCAGGTAAGACGCTTCTGACGTTGTTTGTTGTTCAGGAGCAGCTTGACAAGAGGAATACGACATTTGAAGCCCATGTCCAGGATCCGTCTGTGTGTGGTGGCTCTTGATGCACTGACTCCAGCCTCAGTCCACTCCTTGTGAAAGTCCCCAACACTTTTGAATGGCCTTTTCCTGACAATCCTCTTCAGGCTGCGGTCATCCCTGATGCTTGTGAACCTTTTTCTTCCACACTTTTCCCTTCCACATAACTTTCTATTAATGTGCTTTGATATAGCACTTTGGGAACATCCAACTTCTTTTGCAATTACATTTTGAGGCTTTCCCTCCTTATAGAGGGTGTCAATGATGGTTTTCTGCACACCTGTCAGGTCAGCAGTCTTTCCCATGATTGTGATTCCTACTGAACCAGACTGAGAGACCATTTAAAGGCTCAGGAACCCTTTGCAGGTGTTATGGCTTAATTAGCTGATTAGAGTGGGACACTTTGAGCCGAGAATATTGCACCTTTTCACAATATTCTCATTTTCTGAGATTGTGGATTTGGGGTTTTCATGAGCCGTAAGCCATAATCATCACAATTATGAAAAATCACGGCTTGAACTATCTTCCTTTGCATGTAATGAGTCTATCTCATATATTAGTTTCACCTTTTAAGTTGCTGCACTGAAATAAATTAACTTTTACACGATATTCAAATTTTTCGAGTTTCACTCACCTGTGCATGTATATATATATATATATATATATATATATATATATAAAATGACAAAATGTTATTTCAAGATGTATTAGAATACACAATATTGATGTACTGTAATTGGTTTAAAAACCTCATAAATTCATAAATATGAGTGGCATGAGTATGAACACAGATATTAGAACATACTATAATCACAGAGCGACGCGTTTCACAGATTTACTCCACTTCAAGACCACTGTGATAAATTATAGAAGTTATGAAATATATTGTAATCTTCAGACACATATGTATTCTAATATTTCATTTCCAACAGAAAACCTAAAATGGTCATTAAAGCAACCTCCAAAAAGGTACTAGTTTCAAACATAAGGGCAAGAGGTACACTTCCCAACTGACCTCTTAAACATTGGATCAAAAAATGAAACATCTACCGTTTTAAATAGGCTGCAAAGCTTTTTTACTCAGCATTTTCATTGTCATGCTATTTTTTGATGCTAGTATAGCCATGATAGTGTTTATCTCTGTGGTTGTATACAGTTTGTCTGAGCTTTAGGGTTAGAGTTAGGAGGTCAGGCATAGAGTTGGGCAAAGGTGAATAATTGGTAAATGATCATTTTTTTTTATTTTTCTAATGTGATCAATTTATTTCTTAGGCTTGACAAGGTATTCTTCCTGGTATGATAATTGGTTAGCAACAGATGCAATTGGTGAAGTCAAAATCTTTAGAACTGGATAGGTATTATGGGAAGCAGGTATACTTACCCTTCATCCAGTGCTTACACATGAGCCCCAGTATTGGGTCCAGACCCTGGTAATAAGTGCTTATGTTCTGTGTGGTTTGATTAGTATATATATGATGTGTTTTATCTTTATACGACAGGTCATTCACTGCAGTGGGTATCTGAAAATAAGGCAGTATATGCTGGACATATCTTTATATGACTCCTGCTATCAAATTGTAGGGCTAGTGGCTGTGGGTCAGTCTTTACCGCCGAGTGCCATCACAGAGATCAAACTCCACAGTAACATGTTTATGTTCAGAGCAAGTCTGGACCTGAAACTCATTTTCCTGGACTCCAGGTAAGCTGTTTGTTTACTAAGGCTGGAACACTTAGCAATCAATAGAATCTGACCATTTTAGGTGGTTCTAGAACCAAGATAAAAGTCAGTGAACATGAATACATTTGGCATTGATGTTCAATTTTCTAGAATTTTCGGGATGTGAACAAGTGCTTCCTAAGCTGAAAACTGATTTATATCTGCCCCAACTTTGATTGGCTGGATTTTTTGAACATTTGCCTGACATTGTTGCATGGTTATGTAAATGATAGCAAGGAGAAACAATTTTTGTGCCGATTGTGTACATGCAAACCTTTTGGTAGAAGATGGAGAGTTAAACCACCTGTTTCTCAATTTCCATGGGGACTCTTGTTCAGATCTCTGCACTCCCAAATCTGTTCACCTGCTGTTGTAATAATAAAGGATTTCCAACACCACTTCTGGAATTTTTAATTATTTTACATTATGGAGAATGTTAGAGGAAGAAATGGAAACACAAAGCTGGACAGGAGCATCCAAATCTTCCAAGTGGACAGAAACAGATTCCTAAATTATGGCATAAATTAGTATCAATTTTGGGTAGACCAACTCTTTAAAGAAAAATTCTGGGTATGGATATTTTATACATGCTACATGTTCTTACATGTTCTGCTGGATGCATGAAGGAGAGACTGCTGACTCTGCCTTCATATAAATTATTCATGTTTTTATTGACTTTTCTTAAGGAGTCATTGTTCTAATATAACAAATTATCCATTTTATGTTCTGGTTATGATTTGAATTTATGTGCTAGAATTGTTTTCTGCCTGGGTGTGCATTTTACATACTTGATAACAAGTTAGTGAGTGTAGTTTGTTCATGGATATTTTATACATAGTTAACTATACATATACCAAACCTGGATAATGATCCTGGAAGCTGGAAATCTCTGAAGTAGACACCGCTACTGAGGTGATCCCCACTTGCTTCTGGGTCAAGTGTTGAGCACCTGGCCTGAAACGTACTGACAACAGGAGGTCAGCCGCTTGGCGTGAGCACCATTCAGAGAATGCTTGCATTTACTCAATTAATGCAAAGTGTTCTCTGATTGGACAAGGTGGAGAGGAGGAGCAGTGTCTATTTCAGTGATTTCCAGCTTCTAAGGGCATCAGCCAGGTATGGTATATGCATAAATACATTAGTCCAAACTGGACCAATGTAAATCAAAAAGGGACATATATGAAATATAGAGCAGAGTACTGCTGTATCCCTAATTTTAGTCAATCTGTTCTATTTACTCTCCCATTGGAACTTTAATGCAGCCAGATAGATATAATTTTTTAATATATAAAATTCCAAAACACTTTTTGATACAAAGTGTTAAAACACACCACATCTTAAAAGCACAAAAGCTCTGGTAGAGTACCAAACTATGATGTGATTCATGCTGATACCCCTATATCTTAGGCAGGAAGGTATATACAATACGTTTTACAGTAGGAATTTTTTTTAACAATCATATCTTGCTGAGGAAGCCCAAACGTGTTTCAATTAACCAAATGCAAATCTTCATCAGGGGTCAGAAACGATGGTAGTGCAATACAAAGAGAAAATGAATCTGCCTAGGATATAGGGGGTACCAGCATGTATGACATCATAGTTGGGTACTCAACTAGAACTTTTGTGTTTTGATGTGTTGTGTTTCTACACTTTGTATCAAAAAAAGTTTTTTGTAATTTAATATATTAAAAATTTCTCTCTATTTGGCTGCATTAAAATCCCAATGGGAAAGTAAATAGAATGGATTAACTGGACCAATGTAACTAGGCATAAAATAATTATTCCTGGAATTCATCCATTTTAACTAATTCTTATTTTAAAAAAATATGTGTAATTAGGATGTTGATTTTTTTTCAACCTTCAAAGTGATTCTGGTTATGATTTTTACAATACTGTTTTCATTATTTTATTTTAAATATAGTTTATGTCCCCAGGGCCAAAATACTCTACATTCTAGTGTTTCCTGTGCTTAGAAACGGATGATTCTTGCAAAGTTCCAGCTGGCAGAGTTGTCCTTATTTATTTTACTATCAGTAATAATTGCCTGAATACACTGCATCCAATGGATGCAATCAGTGCTTGGCTTCCAGACCCTCCTATCCAAAGTTTGTAAAAAATGAAAGTTATGTTTATTGTGCATGTCCATTCCAGGATGTGCGCTCTGCATCCAGAAAGTCCAGATGTGGCTGGATCAATAAAAGTTATATTGGTAGGAGATCTAATATAATATTAGTCATTTGTCTTTTTTCTTTCTTTGCAGAGTAGCTGATTTAACTGGTTATGAGCCTCAAGATCTCATAGAGAAAACACTGTACCACCACGTACACGGTTGTGATGTGTTCCATCTACGCTATGCGCACCACCTCTGTTAGTATCAATTTACATTACAATATATTCATTAAAGCTCCCAAGCCATTTTATTTTGCTTTGGATAGAGTGAAGTGTTTCCTGATGGATTTTTATTGCTAGTAGTAAAGGGTGTGGGGGGGTGCTGGATTCATATTATAGTGGGTATTCACAAGTCTTGAGTAGTGTTGGGGTAGTTTAGGTGGCTCTTGTAGGAGTGTTTGCCCAAGGTCGGCTCCAAACACAAAAAAATACTTAGCTGTACAAAGAGGAAAGCCCCAGAATTAAAACATGTGAAGTCAAACACATTTCAGGTGTTTAACAACCCCTCATCAGGGCTTGCTAGTGTTTAACCATTTGTGTCTTGAGTATTTTTTTTTGTTTGCTTCATCACTGGTCCAGTCCAAGGATAATGATAGAGAGGGGGGCTGCTATATGCAATATTAGTTCAAACTCATGGTCTCGGTTTCTGTCAGGCCACGGCATCACTTCGTGAGCCCCTCTAAGGAGGTCCACACTCTTCCTCTGTCCTTCTTTTGGAAAGTCAGTCCTTCATTTAGAACCAAATCCCTTGGTCCCTCCTCAGTTGCCAGTTTTTATGATCTGATGTATATACACCAGGGGTGGACTGACAACTCATGGGGCCCCCGGGCAATAGGGGATCATGGGGCCCCTGTGCTCTTGCCCAAACTCAAAAAAGCCTATGAAAAAGGTACCAGGGGCATCTCATGGGGCCCCCTACTGACCCCAGGCCCTCGGGCAGTGCCCGAGTTTCCAAATGGTCAGTCCGCCCCTGATATACACTGCTATAAAAAATGTATTTACCTATAAGAAGTGTTTTCTCACATTAAAGTGGTTCTAAAGGCTTAAGGATTGTTACCTTCATGCATTCTATGCATGAATGTAAAAAACCTTCTGTGTGCAGCGACCCCCCCAGCCCCTCCCCAATCCTTACCTGAGCCCTCTCCAATTCTTTGACATTCTCAACAGCCTCTGATGTCTGGGGACTCCCCCTCATTAGCTGAAATAGCAACAGGAGCCCATTGGCAAGTGAGCAGGTGAGGAGAGAGCAGGGGAAGGAGTTGAGCCGTGGCTCTATGTATCTTATGGAAGCAGCAGCTCAAGAACGAGCACGCAGAAGTTCCCCCAGGGCGAGCAGCTTTCTCTAGAGGCACTGCTCCAGGGGGAGGAGCCAGGAACGCCATAGGGGACCAGAAAAAAAAGAGGATCAGGGCTGCTCTATGCAAAATTACTGCACAGAGCAGGTAAGTATAACATGTTTGTTATTTAAAAAAAAGAAAAACAAGTTTTAGTGTCATCTAACCTCCAAACTCAAATTCACCCCCCTTATGTCAAAAGAGCCGAGATGGTAAGAGCCCCCTCCCCTCCTCCCTATCAGAAGTCAAGTGTCCCCCCATCCTCCCTTACATCACAGTGCACCCCCTTACCTTGTGCTGCTGCAGGGAAAAAGCTGGGGGCTTGAGTCAGCTCCTGGAGTCTGCTAAATGCTGAGACCAAGGAAGGCTGAGACAAGGGAGTTCTGCAGCTGCACAGAGAGGTGCAGGATCTTTAGGAGGAGTTTTGTCTTCCTCTGTTTTGCCAACTGCTGAGTCTGGGGGAGGGCAGAGACAATCCTTTCCATGGCTGCACAGAGAAGAGCAGGATCTGGTGGAACAGTTCTGTCCTCCTCTGTGCTCTAAGCAGGGGCGGACTGACCATTCAAGCACTCGGGCACTGCCCGAGGGCCCGGGGTCAATAGGGGGCGCCATAAAATGTCTCTGGTACCTTTTATAGGCTTTTCTTGGGTGTGCTTTGAGTATGGGCAAGGACAGAGGGGCCCCATGATCCCCAAATGCCCGGGGGCCCCATGAGTTGTCAGTCCGCCCCTGGCTCTAAGCTATTGTATTTGTTATTTTGGAAAGCCGCTAAAGGAAAAGTAGTGATGAAAAAAACACTTGCGGATTTCATGCCAAACTCTGGGGAAAAAATGACCCTTGCAGCGGGGCTCCCCCACAGGCTTCCCCCCAGTTGAACAACTGCTCCTCCAAAGTCCCTTTTCTTTGCCACTCTGTTGGTTGCAGGCTCCTTGGCATCAGCACAGGCTTCTAGTCCTGTATTATAAGTGAGGACGCCAAAGGTTCAACCACAGCCAGGAGTGTGGAAGAAAGAAGAAGAGTCAGCTTCCAGGGGTGTGAGGTGTATGGTAAGTATAGTTGCTATTTCCATTCCCCTAGACAAAATAAGCAATTGACCTCTACAATGCTTGGGGAACCCCGCTGCAAGGGTTTTTTTTTTCCCAGCATTTACTCTATGGACTTTTCATGATTTGTATAAAATGGAATATGTAATTTGCCTACTTACTTTGTGCTACAATGTGTTCCTCTTTGTCAACTCAAAAAGTTGAGAGGCATGCTTCACGGACAAATGCAATAATATTCAACTATTACATAATGTCTGCCTTCCACTTAGCCTGCAAATTGTCTCTCTTGGCACACATTGAAAAAGATTGTTCCCTTGAACTGATTTATGTCAGTGATTATGTTGTTTTTGTTTTTTCATTTGCAGTGCTAGTGAAAGGCCAGGTCACCACAAAGTACTACAGGCTTCTCTCCAAGCATGGAGGATGGGTGTGGGTGCAAAGCTATGCCACCATTGTCCACAACAGCCGGTCTTCAAGGCCTCACTGCATTGTGAGCGTCAACTATGTCCTTACGTGAGTGCCAATACATATGTCCCTATGAATGTACCTATACCCAGGACTGTACCCCAATGACTCTTGTGGGACAGTGCATAGGGCAGCAGGAATGAGGGGAAGGCACCAAGCCACCTAATTCAAAAACTATGGTCATTTTTTTCTCATTTTGTTTCCCACTTCTGCCCACCACTGGATATTGTGCCTAAATTCAGCAAGAGATCTGTAGGGTGAAGGGGGTGCAGAGGATGTTGAGGATAGTCAGAAGGATCTTTAAATGATAAGAAACATACAATCATCTTTCTTTTCTCATGTTTAGTAGTCTGCACAGGTGAAAAGTATCTATGCAGAACTGTGTACTCTAGCATCAGTTTTTACCAATCATGTGAAACTTTTTCCTTTCCTCCAGCAAAGATGAACCACCCATACCACAGCCATGGCTAAAAGAAAATTTGGCCAAGTTTTCAAAATATCCAAACCAGCTCTTTCTTGCTGTTCCATCTCATTCACTATTTATTAAACATGGCACCCACCTTTGGAATAGCAAGACATATTGGTAATATGTTTTGAAGGTTCCTTTTATATCCTAGCTATAGAGCCCATTCACAATTAGGCATGCACGAATGCACAAGCGATACCGTATCTTATGGTACGCATTAGCTACGGTAGAACATCCATTATGAATGGGTCGCCAATGCACCACAATGGATAAGAAAACATATATGACCTTTTTTTTTTTTCAAACACAGTCCATTGCACTCTACTGTATTGTGTATAGGGGTGCCATTTACAATGTATGGCACTGGAAAGCACCACAAATAGAGCAGATGCTTTGCCATGTGTTCTAGTAGCACACGTTGACGTGTATAGTATAGCATGTATTAACATACAAATGTGACAGGGACCCTCAAAGTGTATCTAAAGCTAAACCTTTTTTTTGCTCATTTTGGTTAGAACAAGGAATGGTTAGAACCTCTCTCAGGTTTACTCTGCTGTCTGTGTCCCCACTGAAGAGATTCAACCACTCTATTTGTGCTGATGACCATTATTATTAGGACAGAAAGTGATGGAAAATTCAAAATTCTACAGTTGCCACCAGAACAGGAATAAAGGAAGCATCTTCCCATAAGGATACCAGTTCTGCTGTCAATTGTCTAAAGCTGGCTATAGATGGATCGACATTTGACAGTGTCAGTTATGTGTGCCTGTTCCTACTCAACAGTAGACAAGAAGGGCTTGTTGGAAAATTCTTCTCAATCAGTAGCTGCAGCCGATGGACAGCCGTTGATCAGTATATTCTGACAATGGAGGAGTCACACTGTCAGAATACAATGTCTCAGCGGAGAGGATTCCTCTATCCACCTCAATTGTGTGGATGGAGGAATCTGTTTGCTTTTTTTGTTTAGCTCCCTGGCATAATGAAAAAAAAAATGTTTAGCTATGGCTGTTGTAAGAGGGTATTTCTTCACACTTTGAAAAAAATTACTCATCAAAATTAGAAATTGGTGTAATGGTCTTCTGTGCCTTTAAATACAATGTCCTTGGAGTCCTTCTTTAATGTTCTAAAAGCAACTAAAAAAAAAAAAAAAAACCTAAACACATACTCCAGAGCACTGTGGTGTATCAAATAAACAGTGCAATCAATCCATAATTATGAAATCACAGACAATTACAATGTTATAGAAATGGAGTAATCAGATGACTCACCTGGAAATTACTACACTTTACACTAGGGTCTAAGAGCTTAATTTAAAACATACTAGCTTGCTGCAAACACTGAAGCTACCAAGATCTAGGCCAACCACACAAATACCAGCTGGGAATAAAGGCAGTAAAATCCACAGTTCATAAGTTTGTCATGTCTGTCTTTTAATTTAATATATTTTGTTTGGTTAACAGACAAAAGATCTTTGCAAGAAATACCCTGACTGCAATATAAGGGAAAAAGCAGTGCAATTCAACAGTGATAAGTCCAATACAGTGCCATGGTCCTAATTATAAGGATGTGGGTAACAGGCACTTTTGATTGGTAGCCCATAATTTTTTATAGAAGAGTAAAATATCTTTGGCTAGGTGGCTTGTATACAGGCAAGGGGCCTATGGGTGCCTTAGGTGTAGGCCATGGGATAATTGAAAGAGAAAGAGAGACAGAAAATATTTTATTTTAAAGTCAAAAAGGACAAGGCAACTGTTCAAGCAATCGCTAGATTTATGCTGGGTCTTTAAGGATCGCTGCTGTGTCTTTTATGATTCATCACAAGATCCCTGCTGGGTCTTCCAGAACTCCTTCAAGGATCCCTACCTGGATTTCCAGGATTTATAGGACATCCACTACCTTCTAGACTTCCAGAGTTCCCAGTAACAACTTTGGACATGTCCATTGACCAAAAGAATCTTTAAGCACCAGCCTTTGAAGTGGCTGGTGCTGTGTATTATCGTGAGCTACTTGAGAGCAAAAGCACTATAATACTTTCTAACCAGTTGCCTGTTTGTTGCTGACCCAGACTGACTTGACTACTGTGCCAAGACCCCTGCCTGGACCTGACTACTCTCTTGCCTGCCTCCTGCTATGACCTTTACATGGACGTAACTACTTTCTTGTCTACCACTTGAACAGCCTCCACATTGTAGCCCTTCTGTTCCAGAAAGGGTTTTGGGGTGATCCTGGGGGGATGTGACTTGGTGCCAGTTTGCAGCAAAGAAAACTAGGAACCACTAGAGTTTCCAGTCAACCTCCACCATAAGGAACTCTGGTGAAGACCAACTGGTACTTAGGCGCTGCACTTTTGGTGAGCCCATGTCACTTGCCAAGGGGCACCATAAAACCAATGCATTTTGGGCACCAAAAGGCCCCCCTTTATCAAGGATTTGGAAACTTGTTTAAATACTGGGGTTCTGAATTCAGTACAAAAAAAGTATCCAATATTAAGATGAACTTATTTGCTTTGCTCAGTTCTTGCAGCTGGTTTTGACAGAACCCCTGTATTTATATAAGTCACTGAAATGTCTGTGAAGGGAGCCTTTTGAAGTCCCTGAAATGTGATAGATTGTCCTTTTCAACTTCCATGAGGAAATAAAATCCTTTCTGGACTATACATTTGGTATGGCTCTCCTTATTGACTTAAAGTTATATTAAAGGCTTAGTTAAAAAAAAATAACAAATATGTCATACTTACCTGCTCTGAGATATGATTTTTCATAGAACAGCCCCGATCCTCCTCTTCTTGGGTCCCCCGCTTGTTCTCCTGGCCCATCCACCCCACCGAGCCCAGCCGTTACAATCACTTTAATATCCTATTTTTCCAGTCATGTCACATTGAGACCATCATGTTTTCCGATGGCATCATCAGATGCCTCTGCATAGACCCTTTCTGTATAGGTAGACCAATGACAATCACCGATGATATATAAATATGTATGTTTGTATGCTGTACAAAATGAGGCAAGACTACTGCATTAAACTGGCTTTGATCATTTAGAGTAAATCAGGGGTTCAGCATACAAATCAAGCAGATCAGAAGAAGTTCAACTGTAGGTCAAATGCACCTGTCAATGGATTCTGTAAATGAAGAAGTGTCTGACATGAAGAGCCAATCAGGAGGATGGTGAAAACTGATGTCATTGGCACAACCCCAAAGCCTGTTGACACAGGCCGTTAAGCTGGCCAGGCAAAATTTGTTCAGCAGGTGGCCCTGTCATCCAACTCCCACCCAACATCCTTGTAAAAATGTTGACCAAACAGCACTGGCATATAATCAAATGTTGGCACATAGGGCTGTCTGTTAGATTACTATAGATGCAGTGGGAGATTTCTTCATCCATCTTCTTACAGCTGGATGGAAGATTCTCTTAGATTTTTTTTTTTGCTCAGTTTACAGGCAGAACGGCAAAATCTGTATGAGTATAGTCAGCTTTATCTTCTCAGTCTCTCCTGTAACTATTGGTATTGGGACAAAAAGTTATGGAATAGAAGAACAGTGGGGAAATCTTCCCATGGGGACATTTGCTGGGCTGACAACTAAGAGAGGTTAACTTTGGCGAGATTTCTTCTCACTTTCTGTTGTGTCTATAGGACAGGAAGTTAAAAAAAAAATCTTCCCAAGGGGTCCAATCAAGTCAGTTTTTCAGGTGAACTTGATCTCACAGTCTATTCACCCCAGCAAGCGTAAATGCACTTGGATTGGAGGACAGTAAGGTGTAAATGGAAAGTCCGTTTACACCCGACTGCCCAAAGAGTAGTCTTTGTTTCTGCTCGCATAAACTGCCCACTCTTCTCTGATAAGTAGGGGATCAGTGGACAAATCCCCTGCTGATCAAAACGGAGTCTTTCCCATGTGAAAGGAGTCTAAAGGTAGTCAAACTGACCCCTTTATTGTAGCAACTTTCTACCTTTCACTGGAAGTAAGTTCACAAGACCTTCCCACCATTTCCGCAACTCATCTGGCACTGCACATTGGGGAAGTGCCTGATGCCTACTAGCATCAAACCGATGTTTGAGAGCAGGGCCCATTTTTTGAAGACCCCCCATCTTGGTGCATATACCCAAATCCGGCAAAGTGGTATCAATATGGCAGTGTGCCTGGATACTTTTGGCCATCTTGATTTGAAGATACTATCCACCTTGTGCCTCTGAGGAGGATTGCATGTTTTTGTAACAAAAAAAAAAAAGACTGATGAAACCAAACTGTGTTGCATAAGAGAATTATACAAATTGTTAGATTTGATGTTATTTATTATTTTAGAAAAGATGAAAAAAAAAACCCTTTGAATTAAATAACAAGGGTATTATTGCCACGTACTGACAAAGTATTCTTGCTGTTCTTGCCTTTGTGGTGCATATCCCCATTCCTTTACCACCTAGGTTCTATCTGCTAGGCCTAGTAGAAGAATTAGCTCACACTCTTTTAAGCCTACTGATTTTTTTATGCTCGGAAAGCCATTACATGTTGTTGGAAGAAGTCTCCCCCTCCCTCAGTCCGATTTTGGATGCAGTTGGTTGATTCCAATTTGCCCCTGTATCAAAATACTTATTTCAATAGAGGTTACCATTATACATTTATAAGTCTGGTCCTGTTGGCTAGATAACCCCTCAGCAGCCACTCCACTAGATTCATAAAGTCCTCAAGGCACTATTTTGGGTGACATGGGTACTCAAATGGGTATTAATGCTCCTGTGTATTTTCAGTATTTGTGCTCGAGCCATGCACCTTCATTTTCACTCATTATTATTTATTTTTCCTGTTATTTTTTATTTAGTTTTTAGTATGGTAATTGGTGTATCTTACTGGTTTCATCTTGTCCCATTGTGAGATTTTGTTGGACAATGTTTCATGCAAAGCTTAAAAAAGAGATTTAACCAAAAAATAACAAGGGCACTCTTGTGATAAAATATAAATTGCCTATGATGTTGATCCTTACAACTTGTTAATGGGTTATACCCAGCATCCCACAGTTCCAAAATGGTAGTTTCTATACTTTCCTGGAACATCGGCGGCTGGTTGGTGGACTTCTGTTCCACCATTGTGTGAAAATGATGATGTTTTTTGATGACACTTGGTAAACATTATCAATTTTTCTCTCTCATACACAGAGATATAGAGTACAAGGAACTGCAGCTCTCTCTGGAGCAAATGACTGTTTCCAAAGCTCCGTTTCCATGCCGGAATTCAGTCACTACCTCGCAGGAGGCAAGGAAGCCAACCAAGCTGAAAGCTGCAAAAGTCAAACCAAAACAGCCAAGATCAAACCCCTACCCACAGGTATGGAGGACTGTCAGTAGACGTTCCTGATTCACTGGGTGGGTAGAAGCACAATTGGATGGTTCATTAGCTGCTGAAATGGTTCATTTGGCATGGGCTATCAGCTACTGAACAACTTGCTGGGTTTTCCGCCAGGTTTGGTGCAAAGGGAAAGTTTTAAAGTTATTTATTCCCTCAGCAAAAGGTTTTTCTTGCACAGTGCAAAACAAAGTAAAGTCATAAACCTTAAATGTCATACTTAATAATACAAAAAAACACAAACCAATGCAATTGTATATTTAATCAAATGATCAGTATTAATGGCACTATGAAATCTGAAGACTACCAGAGAATTCTGGGGTGCAATGTAGGGCCCAGTGTTAGAAAGTTGGGTCTCCATCAGAGGTCATGGGTCTTACAGCAGGACAATGACCCAAAGCACACGTCAAAAAGCACCAAGAAATGGTATCAGACAAAGCGCTGGAAAGTACTGAACTGGCCAGCAATGAGTCCAGATCTCAATCCCATAGAGCACCTGTGGAGAGATCTCAAAACAGCAGTTGGGAAACGGAACCCTTCCAATCTGAGAGACCTGGGAGCAGTTGGCAAAAGAAGAGTGATCCAAAATTCCAGTAAAGAGGTGTAAGAAACTTATTTATGATTACAGGAAGCGATTGATTCAGTTATTTTTTTCCAAGGGGGTGTGTTACCAAATATTAAATTGAGGGTGCCAATAATTTTGTCCAGTCCATTTTTGGAGTTTTGCGTGGAATGTGTCAGATTTGGCTTTTTGTTTCTCCACTTTTTTGTGTCATGCCAATACAAACAAAAGAAATATACATGAGAATGCCTAAACATTTGTAATTACAACAATTTTCTGAGCAAAGTGGTACACTATCTGACAGAAATACAGAGGTGTCAATATTTTTGGCCATTACTGCAATGTTATTGGTGTACAATGCCGATGCAATGAAGTCGTTACAGCAGGGCATCTGTTATATCTTATTTTATATCTTACTATATTTTTGTAGGTAAACTTTAAAGCATACAGTCCAAAGATGAGTGGTGGTCCATGGTCCAATTTGCTTCCATGGAAAATCTCTTGATGAGTCCGCCACCAGTATTGACAGTATATGATACTAAACTAATGCTAGTATAACAAAAAAACAAAAAACTGGGTAATAAAAAATAGAATAGAAAATAAAAAAATGGAAGTAGGGTCATCATTTTCCATACAACAGATCCCAGTGCTCAGGTCAAGGGGTAAAGGGGTGTAGGGTGGTAGTATCATTGGATGGCTGTGGCTAATGCTTAAAGAGGAGCTAGAGAGGTGTTAATGTAGATTCCCAGGGACTTAGTGTCAGCTGCTTTTAATCTTGTGAAGAGCAGCATTCAGAAGTGATCACATGATCGGGACCCATACAACGATCGGTGTTCCACTGTGTGCAAACGACTGCAGTGCCACTGTCCGGTCGTTTATATACAATGGCCAGACGGGAAGCGGTTTAAAGAGTAACTCCACTTTTCTTGAGAAAAAAAAAAGCACTCCCCTACATTGCAGGGATTTTAACTAACTTTGTTGCAGATTCCTACCTTTTGTTATTCCGGAGAAATAGTTGTTTGATTGTCTGTGTCCATGTGCAGAGTGAATCTAATGTGAGTTGTTTTTAAATATCAGTCAGCTGCTACACCTACAGGGCACTAATGAGGAAAGTGTCAGGGTCTGTATCCCTTTAAACACGATTTCCCTTTAGGAGTATCTCACCAAAATGACATTTTAGTTGCAGGGGATGCCAAAATCGGATTTGTATCTTAGTGCAGACTTCTGGGAAAATCAGTCAGCCAATCACATACTGTAAGCAGGATATTCCATACCTCGGAGGCGTCCTGTACACCACCTGTGTACATAACACCTCCAGGTTACCATATTGCATTACAGAAAATTACAGCGCTGCAGATTGAAAAGTAAAGATCATTATTAATAACATTCAATTAAAATATGATTTTGCAATTGTATATGATATATATATATATATATATATATATAATATTATTTTTTTTATATTATTTGCTCATTTGCAATTGTACATGATATATATATGTATATATTTATATATTTTTTTCTATTTATTATTATTATTATACGGTACTATTATTTGCTATTTTTTTTCCCACAAAAGTGGAGTTACCCTTTAAGTTTCTGTACACAGCAGTATTATTTTTTTTACTAGATTTTATTCATTGCTCGTAACTCTGTTTTACATTATACAGACCTCCTCTATTTTCAGTTATAATATGGAATTTTTAGGATGCTTTTGGGTTCCTTAGCTGTCAGACTATATTTAGAAACTACCTTGTATTCGCTGCGCTCAGAGACAGATTAAATTACAGGCCCATTTAGTATGGGTAGCTCCGCGAGCAGAATTACAGGCAGCATTTCCTGGTCACTGGCTGCTAACCTTACAGCCCACCATAAATTAACAATAGGGAAAAAGTCCCAGACATTCAATATGAGCAGTTTTATAGAGCGTAGAATATAGCTTGCTTGTATATAATAAGATATGAGGCATTTTATTGGTGTATTATTTGCTTGTCACAATATACTGAAGGCTTAGAACCGTTTTAAGAATATGCAATGATTTGCTGACTTGGTTATGCGTTTGGATTTTATCACTTTCTATCCATGTTCTTTCAGCGTTATGCTTGATTCACACTTTTACTTTTGAACCTCTATTTATTTTAGGGTTTATTCTTGTGGTATCCATTGCACTTAAAGAGGTAGTAAAGTCTGTTTTGTTTTTTTTTTTTTTACTTGTACCTACCGGTAAGCCTATAATAGAGCCTACCTGTAGGTACTGTAAATATCTCCTAAACATGCACCATATGGGCAGCACAGTGGCTAAATGGTTAGCACTTCCGCCTGGCAGTACTAGGGTCGTTGGTTCAAATCCCAACCACGGCATCACCTGCCTGGAGGTTGCATGTTCTCCTTGTGCCTGCATGGGTTTCTTCTGGGTACTCTGGTTTCCTCCCACACTCCAAAGACATGCTGGTAGGTGAATTGGCTCCTGTCTAAATTGTCCCTAGTATGTGTATGTAAGTTAGGGACCTTAGATTGTACGCCCCTTGAGGGTTAGGGACCGATGGGAATATACAATATATATGTAAAGCACTGCGTAAATTGATGGCGCTATATAAGTACCTGAAATAAAATAAATTTAGGAGATATTTACTTGTGTAGCAGCACCGATGCATGCGCTCTGAAGGAACGGCCTGTGCCATTCCTTCAGAGCCTTGTGCTGTAAAAAGTGATGTCATTCAAGCCACCGGAGGCTGCGAACCCGGATGATGGACTGGGTGAAGATGGAAGCTCTGTCAGCGGTGACAACGTGTGGCTTTTTTTTTTTTAAGGTAGTTTTCACATAATGTGCCACTAGGTCATGCATGCTAGTACATTTTGGAAATGCCTTGCAGTGGAATTTTTTTTTTTTTTTAATTATCAGGTTTACTGCTGCTTTAAAGTAGAACTATAGACAAAACATTTGTTTTTTTAATTTTGGATAGAATAATGGAGAGTTTTAACCCCTATTAGGTTTTTTTTTTTCCCATCTGTGTCTCATTGGGAAGATTTACTTTCACTCTCTGTCCCCTACCAATCCTGGATCCTACTAAAACCAAATCAAAAAAAGAAAGAGACGTTACACAAAACCAGTTGGAAAACTTTGCCAAGAATCAGAAGAAAAATCTATACCAAGAAAGGTATCATGTTTGGGTGGAAGAAAGCGCTGCACTGGTGTCGCTGGAGGCTACCTAGCAGCAAGTTACTGTGTAAAGGGTATAGAGGGAATTGCTTCCAATGAATTATATCCCAATTGTAGGTGTTAAATAATAGACTCCGTTAGGGACTAAGGCTGCAACCTTTCTGATAATGACAATGGAGGCGTTACCGCAGGGAACACTTGGGTGATTGGAGAGGAGCGCAAGATGTCCAAAAAAAGTCTCACATGAGGAATTTTGTAGTTTAGAAGATAAAAGTAAACAAGTAGAGCCAACACATTTTTCGGGGGGAATTGCCTCAGAGCTAGTATATAGAGACAAAGATACTTGGTAAAAACTCATCATAGTCAGTCTATAGAATTTGTATAAAGTGCAAAGCAAAAATTTGTGTTGTTAAATATAGTTTCAAAATAAAGTGGAATCCATAATTAGTCTCTATTTAGTTTCAAAATTAAGTGGAGTTGATTTAATTTTAGTTTTAATTTTATATACCATTTGCAATATGTCTTTAGAGACTAAATAGGGATTCCACTTTATTTTGAAACTATACTTATCAACACAAATTTTTGCATTGCACTTATACAAATCCTATGGACTGACTATGGGTTTTTACCATGTCTCATTCTCTCTGTATACAAGCCCTGAAGAAGGGGGAGGCAATTCCGCCGAAAAGCTTTGGCTCCACTTGTTTACTTTTATCGTCAATATACTATAAAATTCATAAAGTGAGACTTTATTTGGACATCGGGTGCTCCTCTCCAATCACCTAATGATACCAAGAAAATACTTTTTGGATACCACCCAAAAAAACAGAAAACGTAACTTCTAAAATTCCCGCTATCAGTGACCAATCACAAAAAGCAAATGGGAAATCCTCTTTTGGACAGCTGACATTGGAACAGGTGTTCCTATTGGAAGATTTCCCCTCTATTCCTGTTCTGGTGAAAATGTTTTGGGGGATTTTCTTTTGGAACATCAGTACTGCAGACAATGGCCACCAAGACCAATTTAGAGAGTGAATCTTCCCAGTGTTGTCACAGGTGGCAATAAACGTCAGGGTTCTCACCCATCTACATCCAAAAAAAGTTGTAGCTTTATATACACCTTGAAGCTCGGCTCCAGCCAATATGTTTAATTTTGTTTGGAAAAGAGTGGGAAGGAGTAGGGCTTCTGTCATGTTCTAATTGTTCCAGAGGAAATATTCCACACTTGTATTGAGGACACCCTATTCATATGTCCAACGGGACAGAACGCCTCTTGTATTTTTCTACTAAGGCGTTCTGGTAATTTTGCCATCCAATTCTATTCATGACCTGAAAATATTTAAGCCCTAATAAATGGGGAGTGCTTTGGCCCCCAAAGCGCATTATCTGTCCTACAGCTGTGCTCAAATGTTTGCATACCCTTGGAGAATTGGTAATATACAGTATGTACCATTTTTAAAGAAAACATAAGTGAGCAGATAAACACATTTCTTTTATTTCTTATGGGATTCATATTGAACTGTAGGTCATAACAGGATGATACAAATATAAAACAAACAAAACATGGCAACAAGTAAACAAATGCAATGACCCCAGTTCAAAAGTCTGCATCCCCTTAGCTCTTAATACTATGTATTGCCCCCTTTAGCATCAGTGACAGTGTGCAGTCTTCTGTAATAATTGTCTATAAGTATTCTGACTCCAACAGTTGTATTAGTAACTTATCCATTGCTGAGACCTCTATGCCTGGCCAGTATAACCAGATATAATCACTGTGGACAGTCTTTGTCAGATTGCTGAACTCACCAAACACCTGTTTTTCTCTTCCATGGATCTTTATTGCAATGCAGAAGGAACATCAGACAACACAAGATGTAGCAGATGAATAAAAGGACAGTATTTGCAGGCCGAAACAGATCTCAGCCGAAACAGATCTCAGCTGAGAACCACCTAGAACTGAGCAATCACATGACCGCCGATCGTTCAATTCGCAGTCTTCAGTGAGCAGAGAGGTGACTGTCAGTCATTAGCTCTCTGCTCCACCCCTCCAGTGTTTACTGGAGAGCTGGGCTGGGCAGGGGACAAGAGCTGCCGGCTCGGGCTTTGAGCAGCACGCTTAGAGGCTGAGCCAATTAGGCCTCTGGGCGGTTCCTGACATTATTGTTGGGATCTCTCCAGAGTTTGGAGCAGGCTTTAGCCCGTTATTGGCTGAATCTGAGTCACAGGAGTGGAGAACTAAGTGCTCTGCTGTGATCCACAAGAGATGCATGGCCAAAAGATCTTTGACCATACTTTTCCTTTAACCATTTCAATACCGGGCAATTTTACACCTTCCTGCCCAGGCCATTTTCCAGGTTTCAGCGCTCTCACACTTTGAATGACAATTGCGCGGTCATACAACATTGTACCCAAACTAAAATTGTATCATTTTCTTCACACAACTAGAGCTTTCTTTTGGTGGTATTTAATCACCACTGGGGATTTTATTTTTTGCTAAATTATCAAAAAAAGACCGAAAATTTTGAAAAAAAAAAAATTTGTCTTTGTTTCTGTTATAATAGTTTGCAAATAAATAATTATTCTTCATAAATTTAGGCCAAGATGTGTTCTACTACATATCTTTGGTGAAAATAACCCAAATTAGGATGTATTTTTTAGTTTGTAGGAAAGTTATAGAGTTCACAAACTATGGTATAGATCTGAAAATTGATCAATCCTGAAGTACTGACGGCCAATCTAATTTCTTGAGGTCCAAGAATGTCAGAACAGTACAGATATCCCCCAAATGACCCCTTTTTGCAGAGTAGACAGTCCGACGTATTTCATAAGAGGCATGGTGAGTTTTTTGAAGTTGTATTTTTTTTGTCATAATTTTTCGGAAAATGAAAAAATGCAAAAAATTATTTTCACTATTTTTTCTTTTACATACTGTCACCAGTGCAGTACAGCATCATCATATAAACTGGCATGGTGGTGATCAGGGACACTGACTGGTCTTTTTTTTAAGATTTTTTTTTCATATTTCACTATGTCCAAAGTAGTACAACGTTACCATAGTAACATTGTACTACTTTGGGGAAGTGATCAGTATTTTATTTTTTTTTTTTACACAATTTGCTTATAGAAAATAATTACTTTGCTATAAGCAAGCATTTACCTGAATGACATCAATTCATTCAGGTTTTTTTTTTTTTTGCGCTTAGCTGTGATTTGGCCACAGCTAATCACATGATATGTGCATGTGATTAGCTGTGACCATTCACAGCTAGGCAGTAGTATACAATGGATGGCATGAATGAAGCCATCCATTGTATACAACTGTCATGTGACCTGCTGTGATTGGTCACAGCAGGTCACATGGTACCGGCAACGGGGCCGATACTCAGATCTGTCATCGGCCGTGTCCGAGGTACACGGCCGGTGACAGATCGCGCCGCTGCACGGCTCTGCAAAAGTGCGCATGTGCGGGAGGACGCCATTTGGCGTCCAACCCGGAAATCCGATACATTTTTCCAGCCGCCTTTTGGCTATTGGCTGGGCGTGTATTGGTTAAGCAATACAGCTATGTCAACTCCTCTTCCTCCTTTTCCTCCTAATGTGATTGGTCAGTGAAGGAGCCTCAAATGGCTGTTGAGTTCATCCTTCTGAGCTCTTCTCCTGCCTGTGTGTTTCTTGTCAACACATTTGCATGTAGCATATCTGATTGGCCCCAGTGCTGGCCCTCCCTCTCTGTCTGAATACTGTTGCAGAGAAGATTACAGCAGAATATTACCAAGTCAAATTTAAGTCTTGACACTAGTTGCAATTAATTTATTATAATGAATACCGTCAAATAAACTTAATTCTTTGATGTTTTGTTAATATCTGTCTGATGGAACAGAGCTCGTCTCACCCCAAAACTTAGTGTAGTAAGGGCAGTGTCCATATGCCCCACATCCTACACAAACCTATACGGAAGAAGTGAATGGGCATGACTAAACTCCAAGGGGCGGAGTGAAATGTGTTGGGATCATGGCCTGGCTGGAGCCCTGGCTGAGGCTGCCATTCACTTCTTCCACGTGGGTCTGTGTACGATGTGCAGCGTATGGACACTTCCCTTGCTACACAATGTTTAAAACATATTGGACCAAGAGAACACAAAAATCTGTCTGAAGTTCACACTTTAATGGAACCACCCTGTTAAAAAATAATACTTTTTTGAGAAATAAATCAGTGTCTTTCACAATTTTTAGGGACTCTGTACATTAGTTCTGAACTCCATTAATGTTTAAATAAAAAATGTACTTTGTGGATTTTTCATGTACAGTATGCAGTAGGAGGAGAAAGCCTCCATGGTAAAGTCAAAAACTCCATCAGGGAAATGTCTCCAACAGATATTATTGATTAATCAATGCAATGTCTTTCTTACAGCAGTACAGTTCCTTCCATGGAGATAAGCTGGACTTTGCACAGTTTGGAAACTGGAAAGGAGGCCCAACAATAAATGCCGCCACTAACCAAGAACCAAGCAACCACACGGAAAACAATGAACTTTTATACCCTGCTCCCTACAGCTTACCATTCCCTTACCACTACGGACACTTTCCAATGGACTCCCACATGTTAAGTGGCAAGAAACAAGTGATGCCTTCTAGGTTTGGCCAGGGCCAAGGGTCGCCATGTGAGGTGGCGAGATTTATCTTTGGTGCCATACAAACAGGGGGAGAGTGTCACTGGCATTACTCCAACCCCTTAGTGCCAAATTCACCACCAAAAAAACTGTTCAGGATCAGCCTGCAAGTCAGACGTGTCACAACCTCTCTCAGAATTATGATGGTAAGTTATTTTCTACATGCACATTCCAGATATCTGTTCTAAAATGTCTAAATACAATGTGTGTGTTCATTGATAAGGTCCATACTTCTATCATATTTATGATTGATGGAACTCTTGTGGGTTAAGGTTAGAGCCATACAAAAGGTATAGGCTAAATTTTCACTTTGCTAGATTACCTATGGCTAACATGGTACAACACTTTACATTTAAAGAGCATAAAAGATTGTGAACGGCAAAGTGAGGCTTATTTCTGCAGCACCATTCATGGTTAGGATAAGTCATTGGTTGTTAAGGAGCTGGCACCCACTGGCATCTTAGTACTTATGAATCATTCCTGCTGTCAGTGGAGATTCCTCGCTGACAGTAGAATATAAGCAAAAAAGCCTACATAACAAATGTTTTAAAAAAACAGCATGCAGGTCCCACCTAATCCATACCAGACCCTTCAGTCTGGTATGGATTGTAAGGGGAACCCAACATAAAAAAAAAATGATGTGGGGTTCCCCCCAAAAAATTTATACCAGACCCTAATCTGAATATTCAGCCCCAGCAGGCCAGGAAAGGGAAGGGACAAGTGCCCCCCCCGAACCATGCCAAACCACATACCCTCAACAGGGAAGGGGGGAACTCATGTCCCTTTACAGCTGCTACACAGAGACCTTCACCTATTGCTTATACTAAGAGGTAACTCCAGGGGCATAGCTACAGGGGTCGCAGGACCCGGCCCATGCTTCAGGGGGCCCATGCGGCCTCCTTGTACATTTGGATAAAAGGGGCGGTGCGGGTGGCAGCATATAGAGGACCCAATCCCATCCATTTTCCTCCTGCAGCAACTGAATGCCTGCTTCTTCTTCTCTCTCCCTCCCACAGGTATTCAGCATCTACTGGAGGAAAATGAAGGAGATAAATTCTTTTATATGTCGCCTCTCTACCCCTCCTATTCTGCTGTCCTGGGCACCTAAGTTTTCTCCAAGCACCCCTGTGCTCTCTCCTACCCCCCCCCCCTTCCCCCACCCATCAGAACGTGTCAGGTTGGAGAGCAGGGCAGGGGTCGGTAAATGTATCATTTACCGGCTCCTTCCTTGTCTGAATGAACAGAGCCAGTGATCTGTTCCGATAATAACTGAAGCATAGTAAACTGTGTTTACTATGCTTCAGTGTGTGAATGAACGGGAAGCTCTGTACAAAGATATTCCTGTCCATTTATTCTGTGCAGCTGAAGCTGCAGAGATGGAGATTGAGGGCTGTGTCCTAAATCTCTTCTCTCTGTCTCAAATGTGAAATATCAGAGGTTTGTTTAGACCCCTGATACGGGGCTCCTAAAAACATTTTTAAAAAATAATAAAGTAAAAAATAAAATGGTGAAAAATAATTTAAAAAAAATTAAAATTAAAAGTAGAAAACTACTGACACAAGTGCCAGAACTACCAGGGTTGCAAAGGTCACAATTGCGACTGGGCCATCGCGTACCAGTCAGGATGGACCTTTCATGGATTCTTACAGTAGGGCCCTGACAGTTCTAGTGATGCCTCTGCGTACCTCTCAGGGGACATTGCACCATATCCTAGCCATTCTCCTAGAGTGCACTCTAGGCTAGTTATAGTATTATTATTCACATTGCTGTTAATGCTTACATGTACTGTTTTATTGCTGACTTTACTAATTCATGAGTTAATCCCAGTCTAGTGGTACAGACCTCTTGTCCAACTTACCTTGACATGGTGATTAAACTGTCTGAACCTACCTTCTCTGTGTTCATTTATGATCAAACCACTGTTTATTCTAACCTGTTGCTAATTCACAGCTGAGTTAAAAGTATCTACACTCATGTTCTAATAAGTGCTTGCAGTAACTTTCATTCAACCAGGTGTGTTTGAAATGCTGAAGTTGTTCTTGGAGTTGAGGCACAGAACAGAAAACACAAATGTCCAAGCGGCTCCTGCGGGGGTAACGCTACTCTTGTCCTGAAAATGTTAATGCTAGTGCAAATAAAAGAGTATCATGGACAATACTCAGTTGTTAACTCCACCTAAATTGTTGTGGAAGGACCCTTGTTGGAATGAATAGACTGGTGATAGGGTCTCCTTAAAGTGGTAGTAAACCCCAAACCATAAATGTAATATATTGCAGCTTATCAGTCATTACATGTGGTGACTGCATCAGTTTTCTTTTCTTTGACTTTTTCCCTCTGTTTTCACCTGGTGATGTGGCCAGTAACACACCTCCAGCCAGGGGCGTAGATAAAGGGGGGAGTCACGGGGTCTGAATCCCCCCCCCCCAGAGGAGAGGAGAGTTGCCAACCATCCCTGCAGCCCTCAGAATTTCCACTCACCTGCAAGTGGAAATAATTTGGGGCTGCGAGCAGTGCCGAGACTAGAGGTGTGTGGGAGGGGATTGCGGTGGGGGTGGTGATGAGCAGCGATCTCCTGTATGGCTTTCAATGAAGCAGCTGGAAGCCACAGGAGGGAGAGGAGGAGATGCAGCTTCCAGCTGCTTTATTGAAAACCATACAGGAGATCGCTGCTCGTCACCACCCCCACCACTGCACAGAACATACCTGACGGTTCAGTTTTCTTTCTGCCACCCCTCCCTCTCCCTGTCGCTGTGGTCTTCTCACTGCCCAGCCCCTCTCTCCATCCTCTGCACCAATAGGAGAAGAGGAGAGAGAGGCTGGATCTGTTCCACTCCTTCCTTCCACCCACCCTTCCTTCCTTCCATCCACCCCTTCCTTCCTTCCACTCACCCCTTGCTTTCTTCCACCCATCCCTTCCTTCCTTCCACCCATCTCTTCCTTTCATCCACCCCTCCTTCCACCCGCCCCTCCCTTCCACCCACCCCTCCCTTCCTTCCATCCACCCCTTCCTTTCTTCCTTCCACCCCTTCCTTTCTTCCTTCCACCCCTTCCTTTCTTCCTTCCACCCAACCTTATTTTCACCCCACCCACCCCTCCCCCCTTCCTTCCTTCCTTCCACCCACCTACCCCTCCCTATCTTCCATCAACCCCTTCCTTCCACCCTTCCTTCCTTCCACCCACCCCTCCCTTCGTTCCTACAACCCCTCCCTTCCTTCCTTCAAGGAGGAGAAGTTGGTGTGTGTGTGTGTGTGTGTGTGGGGGGGGGGGGGGGGGATGTGGTGGACCCCTCCCAGAAAAAAAAAATGATCTACAGCCGTGCCTCCAGCATTAGTGAGACACAACTCTGGAGGAATGAGCATAGGAGGCACAGCAGACTTTGTCAGTCTGGGGATGTATTAGCATCAATGTATTAGCAGATTTAGAGCCACTAACAAATTGAAGCCAAACTCCAGCTCACACTTAATAATCAGTTACAGCAAACATTGTTTTTTTCGTTTTGGGATAAAGGTTTTATGTGAATACGTAAAAGCGGATAATTTTAATCACCTCTGCCAGTGTTAAAGCAAACCTCCATGAAAAAAAATGTCTTCCATGCAGTGGGGTCATACCCGCACTGCATGGATTAACTGCTTGTTTTGTCTAGGGGCGCACCAAAAGGCTATACTTTTTGATTCAAAAGGCTGATCCTTTGATTCTCCAGAAAACCGCACTCCCCCACGTCTAGTGGAGGACTGTTCCTACCGTCCTCATGCCTGGAGCTGGTCTAAGGGCATGATGACATAAGGAATAGTCCATTCAAAAGACCACTAGTGTGCGGGGGTGGGGCAGGAGGGGCAGGGACCAGTTTTGTGCTTGGATGATCAGCGGATTAGGTAAGTATATCTCTCCGCTCTCCTCACCCCTAGAAAAAAAAAAGGAAATAAACATTTTCTCCTTTAGTTCTCCTTTAAGTGGTTGACTCATCCATGTAAACTGATTCATTCTGCTGGTGAGTTTGTGGAGTGAAAAAACAACAGACTTGCTGGCTGGATCACCAGATGAACATAGAAGAAAAAAAGCCTAAAAAAGGAAACTAATACAGTCATAACATATAAGAACTGGTAAGCTGCAATATATCAAAAAATGTTTGCTGTTAGGTTTAATATTGCTTTAATGCATTCATGCAGCACAAGCTAGTTTAAAATTTTGATTTCCATAATAAAGAGCTGATTTAGTGGGGAGCAGACAGATTTAAAGTGTGAAGCCTAGCGAGCTTGTCAGGGGTTGGGGCGTCAGACAACAAAGAGACCCTGCAAGTTCACCTCTGCAAACACCCACCACTTTATTCTCAATGTCTATCCACTCAGCACGTCAAATAATATCTACATGTTAATCTTTCATGTAATTGTTCCACATCAACGAATTTGCAGAATTGTTGTTGTACCGATTACTCACTGTCATATTTTAGTGGTGGAAAGTGTCAGATTCCTGGACACGATTCATTACCCAGCAAAGCAGTGGTTTTGTGACTTGTAGGTTAATATTTGATCAGTGTTACCTCTCGGCTTCCTCCAAACAAAGGCGGCAGATAAAGCATCCTCCAGCTAATTTTATAAATGGAAAACTGCTGGGCATCCATCAAACTCTCACGGCGCTGTGACTTGACCAAACACTCCATGATGTAATTATTGATGTGGAGTGTAAATCAGAGCGTGAGTAATGTAATGCAAAGCAGACCTGTATGATGATGGGGTTATCACAGATTGCTGTATCATGACAGCCTAGAAACCTGCTATGGTGTAAAACTTAAACAAACAGACAAGTGCTGAATGTAATATTCCAATTAGTCTTGGATTTGCAGAAAGGTCCCCTAGGCCCCTGCTAAGTGTGGCAAAGATTTAGAGGGAACATAAGGCTGTTCCTTGTATTATTTTTTTTTAAGTATGTTTCAACCCAAGAATATAAAGGCAATATATTTTGCACATACCAGTCCGTAAATGTGGTGACTGTATTAGTTCCCTTTTTAGGCTTTTTTTTGGCCTTATTTTCACCTGTTTTGTAATAAGGGAGCCCAACTGCTCTTTAGCCCATTCCTGAACTTAGGTGTTTTGACCTCAAATGAGCATACAATTGACACTGGGCCCCCAGGGCAGCTAGAAAAGCCTTCTCAGAGGTGCACCAACTGGGAGACCCATTCTGGCATAGCTAT